TGGAAAATTTGCCTATAGTAAAATGTGTACAACTATTATCAGTCACATATCAAGAAATCATAGAATAGAGATGTGACAGTGATCTATTAGGAGATCCTGTTGCTCTTCAATCAGTGTAGGATTTTTCTGTAATATACCATCAGCAGAAATTTTTTATTCAGCCTTATCATTAGTTACTGACATAATTTATTTTTGGAAACTGTTCAGTAGACTAGAGGTCACGCTGTTAGGAAAAAAATGACACTGATATTTAGGCTAACATTTGCTTTTCTTAGGTTCATTTTGTTATTCAAAACATTGCTCTTTGCCCTCCTACAACACTTCATTCATCATTCACCTCTTATTAAACTGCTGTCGCTTGCTTAGATAATAAAGAGATTATGCATGTCTTTCTTCCAAATTCTTCTTGACCTTCAAATTTTTTGGTACTTTCAAAATATGTTTTTCTTTGAATGCATGGACTTTCTCAAAAAAATAGGTTTTCAAAGGAGTACGAACATTTTACTGTTGCAAAAAAATTATATAATACACTTACATGCTTGGATGCACACACTGCCATTTGTTCTAATAGGCTGTAATAGACTACATAATATGGTAAGAATTACAGAGTTTACTGAACTCATTTCAAGCCTCATTTATGAACTCATTTCACAGTCAGCTTTCCACCTATCTTACTCTCTTGAATTCCATAGAGTTCATTTTGATTTTCTCCACTGCAGGACAGAAAACATTAGGAGAAACTGTACCACTAAATTTTAATGTAGAATATCAGCTTTTGAGGCTAAACTTTGACTTAATTTGATCCTAAAAGTGGAGTTGTATATCTTTTAAATTATATTTGAGAACGTTGGACTGGATTCTTATTTACAGTAAAGTCCCATTTCACTACAGAATATTAAAGTCCCTTTTCTGGCAGAATAAAGGAGGACTGAAGTGTGTATACATGTCAGAGCCTGGTAAGAAGAAAAACACTGGAATAGTTGTAAAGAAAAAAAGGTGTCTATTCCTGCTTCTAATGAACTAAGTGGCAAAATTGACAAATTAGTTTTTTTGTGTTACTTTGAGTCAAAATGAAAATCTCACAATATTGAAAAAAAGCATCTTGAAAAAAACATCTGTTTATTCCTTAATTCTCATGGCTACTTCACTGTCTCTCCTTATTTCCTGTAGCCAAGGAGATTAGCCCATTCAACAGGTAGGCCAATACAGCTGAGCAAAGCAAAACCTTGATGCTTACCTATTGTGCTACCCTGAATCTCAGGTTAATCAAAGGGATGAGTGTGTTTTTTCTCCCCAATCCTTTCAGATCAAATCACTGCACTAATCTTACCCCTTGAGAATGTTAAAAAAAAAGGAAATTTAATCGGGGAGCTATATTAAACAGACAAACATTAATTTCCTTTCTTAGAGTTTTACATGGCTTTATCAGGAATAAGAGTACAGGCAAAAGAGGCTGAATACCAGTGAACAAGCATTGACATAGAGCACTCTTGCTAAATTTGCTGACCCTGAACTAGACTTTATTTATCCTCTAAATCTTACAAATAAGTCCAACTAAATAATACTTTTCTTATATTAGAGAAGGAAAAAATGCAATTTCTTAATGATTCTGAAGTAATTCAAAAGGGATCTCTCTTTCTGTCCATTCTGCCCACAAACACAGAAGGATAAAAAAGCTTTGGAAAGCTGAGGACAGTTTGTCTTTATTTCTCATTTTTCTTCTCAGATTCTCATTTTATATCTTCTGAGCTGTGGCTCTGGATTTTTTCAAAAGATACGGAGAGTAAAGAGGAATGTCTATTGCAAACTGCAGACCAAATGAAAGAGCAGTGATATTTTCTCTTAGTAATGACCAATTTGGCAATGCAGAGAATTTATTTTCAGTTTTCAGGATGAAGATTAAACAAGAGTTGCGCTCCTAGAACAAACCACAGGCCGTTAATGTGTTACCAGAATCCGTTATCTCCTTAAGAGGTCAGGAAAAAAAATCCAGCATTTTAAACTTTAAACTGTTTTTTAAGGGAACACTGCTAGGTAATTTTAGCCCAATGTCTGACCTATTAAAAATAATATAAACTGTTGTTGAATTTCTTCCCATATCTCTTTGTCTCCAGATGCATAATGTGCCCGAATAAGTGATTTTCTCCTTATTGAAAGAGAAGGGGAAGGTGGCAAATATTAAAATGCTAGCAGAAAATATTTCATCAACACAGAATAATTAGTCTTTTGAACCCATGATCACTGTGGCCAAGAATTTAGGAAAAAAAGGATTAGACGAAGCTAACAGGAACCTTTACAATAAAACTAATATATGTAAAAAAAGCAAAAAGCAAAAAACAAAACAAAAAAGCCAAAAACAAAACACCAAATAACCCTTCCTCCCAAGAATTCAGGAAGGGACTGATACCTCAAACTCCTGGGCATCAATACATTCCAACTAAATGGGATTAGTAGGGAACTCTTTGAGGCTGATTCTCCCTTAACTTTTATCTACATGGTATTGTAATACCTTTCTCTGAAGCAAATGATCAGATGCTGTCAATAGGAGAGGATGCTGCTTTAAATGGACCACTGGTATCATCCATTAAGGCAATTTCAATGTTTCCTAGTAACTGAACTGTATAGTCTAAGGACATAAAAATATGAGTCTACATGTAGTTTCCAAATCCATAGTTATAAACTTAAATAGATGATTAAACAATGCTTCCTTTTCTTTTTGTCTCCTCCTCACCACTCTCTTCCTCCCTTTCCCTTGGGGTGATAATACTGATTCCAAGGTTGTTTTCCTGAGTTCAGAGTTAATTTCATATGCAGCAGCAAGGTATATTGGTGGATGGGTGTTCTAGGGAGCAAGGGAGTTAGAAGACAAACAAAAAGAACAAAAGAGAGCTAGATACTGGGTGCCAAGTATCCAGGGAGGACTCTGAGAAAGCATCCAGATGAGAGTGGCCATGTGGTACGAGGTGCCACAGACACATCTGTAATGCCACATACTGTACATTCAGGTGTTCTCTATGCTCCAAGGGAGCCGTGGAGCAGGGAGAGGGGGGTTGACCTCTGGATATCCAGGGGTCAAAAAGCCTGTGATAAAAAAAAGCCAAACAGAGCGGCGGATGCAATGGCTGCACGCACCACTAAAAAGTGGAGCTGGGCCATCCAGAGCTGTGCTCCTGCTGCCAGCCAGGCTCCAAGCTGCATGACCACCATTGCTGCAGCCTCGGGGACAACTAGCAGCAGCACAAGATGCTAGTTGGCCCTGGGGATTGTGTGGATGTGGCCTGACAGTCCACTGTGAAGGAAAGCTGGGAGAAAGGCAACAGCCCAGCTGTTCCAGTAGGCAACACATGGCTTCTAAATATTTCTATTTGCACCTCTTTATTGAAGCCAATGTAAGATTTTTTGATCATGAGCTAAGGTCTAAACTGAGGAGGTGGGGATCATGTATCATACTTAGTATACATAATTTTATGTTTACTGACCCAATTTAAGTTTTGCTTTGTCTACTTTCAGTCCTTCTGAAGGAATTTTTTGTTAGGATACAAAGTTAAAAAAAAAAATTAGAGAACATCCCGAACTGTAGGACTTCCTGAAGCATCTACTAAGTATTCTTTAGAGGTGTCTCACCCAAATACTTACCCATCCAAAATAAAACATGCACAACACTGAAATACACACAAAGTGAAAACAGACAAAACTTAAGGAAGGTTGGGATTCTTACCTTTTGGGATTGAATTAGATGAGACCCCCAAAATGGAACGACTCTATTGATATTATAGACACACATGTGACTTCTGTTGTAGAGAAATGGAGAAATGTGCATTCTTTACATTTTATTGCTTGCCCTGTAGTGGTAAGGAAGCTTCTCTGACCAGACAGGCACACCACTAGGAGAAAACAGACAAGGCTTGAGCAAGATTGGGATTCTTCAGCTTACTGTGTACACACAAAATCTATTGCCTGACCATGAAAGCTGGGTATATCAAAAGAGTAATCCAATCACCTTTATTCTATGAAGGGGTACTGACAGACTCAAGGGCCGTTTCCAGACATGCATGGACATTTGGTTCCACAGGGACAACTAGTGGCAGTGCAACTTGCGATATCACTAGTTGTCCCCGGGGAATGCCTGGGCCACGTGTGCTCTGGCACATGCCAGGTTACCCTGGGTGGCGTAGAGGAAGCTGGGGCCGGCACTGGTCTGGCCCCAGCAGCCTTACCTGGTGTCTTCCTGGGGCTGTAGCAGTGGTGACCATGCTGTGCAAAGCCTGGCTGCCAGTGTCGTGCGGCTCTGGCTGGCCAGGCTCCAGCTTCAGGAGGTGCACGCTGCTGCCGCATGTGCTACTCCACCTTTTTTCCCATGGGTTTTTTTGATCCCTGGATATCCATCCTGCTCTCTTGCAGCATGGAGAATAACTGAACATGGTATGTGGCACCACAGATGTGTCTGCTATGCCACACACTGCATCGATGCACTTGTCCAGACACAGCCAAGGGGCAGGGAGGAAACAGAAAAACCAGTCTAATACAAGACTGCTGAAAATAAAGATTCAGTATCTCTAACTTGGCAGTCCTCTACAAATGGATATTTGTGGGCACATTCAGAAGCCTGCTAGTTTTAAGGTCATTTCAATTCTTGGTATTAATGAAAGATGTTTTTATTCTAAATATACCAGCAGCATTAGGCTTTATCAAACTGCATTATAAAAGAAGAATGGATATTGCTTGGTATACAGAGGAACATTTCTCATTCCTGTACACTTATTAGTATATGTCTACTGTAAACTAAAGCCCTAAATCTGCAATTTTATGCATTTGCTTATGTGCATTATGTATGCATGTGAGAAGTACCATTTTAGTCAAAAGTGTTTATTCAGAAGTAAAATAAATCTCTTGAAGATATATTTGTTTGCAAAATCCAGACCAAAGACAGAAAAACCTGGGAGTATACAAACTTTGAGTTGGTTTACAATCTGATAATCAAGAATATTAACTTCAAAATATAGATATCAGAAAGTATTTTATTGTCAAACAAATTCAAAATTAGTCCTTTCAATCCCTGATGTCTTATTTTGAAGATAAAGCTGTTCCCTCACCTTTTTAAAAAATGTGTAAATGTGGCATTATAAAACAAAAGAAACAAAATCACAGCAATAACTTAAGATACAAAAAAGGAAAAAGCAAACCAACCACCCAGAAGAAGAAATGTTAGGAGCAACAAGAAAGTTCTCAAATTAAATTTTTCATTAAAAAAGGGATTTTTTTTCTTTTCTTCCTTTTGCACACAAAATAAAATAGCAGCATAAGAGAGGGACAAGTGCACTCCCATTGTTTGGGAACTCCTTTTATTAACCAAAGCAGTAGTACTCATCAGAATCAATTTTGGGATGCTTTTGCAGAGCTTGTGAGTCCTCCAGAATAGCAGGATCACTGAACTGGTCCATGTCTGAAGGGGTGTGACGACCAGGGACATCATCCACCAAAGTGTCCAGATAACTTCCCACTGATATTCCATCCAGTCCATCGCTACAGTCTTGTAAACTATTATAACTGCCTCGCAGGGAAGTCTCCTGACTCTCTAGCAAGCTGCATAGACTGCCACTCAAACTACTGCCTCTGCTCACGATGGTTCCCTTCTCTTCAATCATCCATTTGATTGATTCAATACTTTCATTGATGATGAGCAGCTGGCGCATGAGCTTGACATCAGTATCTCGGAGATTAACCTACATGGCAGAACAACAATGAAAATTAACTTGAACACATTTTTTTAAAACACAAAGGACTTGGTATCAATTTAGAATGACAGGCTGGGATCTAATAGAGGGGTAGAAAATAATTATAAGTGTAGCTTCCATTCATGAAACATGGATATAATTATAAATAAAGCAGCATGGAATACTAAAATTTTAAGAGATACCTTTCCATACTGATGCAACATCCTATTGTACTTACAAACTGTACCTTTTCATTCCGTAATTTCTAGTTATACTATAGCATATGACCTTATACAATTCCCATGATCTCCATGGCTGTTAATTTAGGTTTTTATATATAATTAAAACTACATTTTTATTGTTATTTTTAAATTAGTCCACCACAGGATTTAATACTGTGAAGGGTATTGGAAGCAAAGCTACCATTTAGAAGAACAGTATCCTTGGGGTATTTTTTTTTGTTTCATGTAAGAAAGAAATGGGACACACACCCAACCTTTCACTTAGCATATGTAACAATACTTGCAGTTAGGGCTGTGCGAGGCTTTGGACAGAGCTTCGGATCCGGAGAAGCTTTGGACGCTTCAGCATCCGAAGCAGCATGTCTGGACTGAAGCGCTGGCTTTGTTAGGCTTTCCAAAACAGTTTGGAGCTTCCAAAGTGCTTCAGAAAAGCTTTGGAGCCGTTTTGGAGATCTGGCCATAGGATATAATGGGGAAACAATGAGATGTATATAACTTTGTTGTTTTTTGTCTTATTTGGATGAAATTTGCAGGGGTTGTATCCTTTGCCGAGAGCATGAAGCCTGCCAAGTTTCAAGAATATTGGTGGAAGTGTTCGGGGGAAACTGTGCCCAAATTCTTGAAAGCGTATGCATTACACCACAAGGGGGTGGTAGCCCCTGGTGAGGCCACAAAGCCTGCCAAGTTTCAAGGTGATAGATGCGGGGGTTTGGGGAAACTGCACCTCAAGCTGCTGACAAGCAAAACTCGTGATACAGATGACCCTGTGCATGTTAAGGTGCAGTGGGCTGAAAACTGCAGAGGTGGTGGCCCCTGATCATGCCAGAAAGCCTGCCAAGTTTCAAGGAGTTAGGTGCAGGGGTTTGGGGAAAATTGCACCTCAAGCTGCGGACAAGCAAAACTTGTGACATGGGTGACACTGTGTGTGTTAAGGTGCAGCTGGGTGAAAGCTACAGGGATGGTAGCCCCTGCTGTGGCCATGAAGCCTGCCAGCTGTTGAGGAGATCAGTGGAACCCTGCACCTTTAGCTGCTGACAGGCAAAACTCATGACATGGGTGCTTGTGCAGCTGACTGTGTCTGTCCTGGGGTGGGTGGGGGAGACACTACTGCAGGCCTGGCTGCTAAGCTACTGTGTTACCAGGTACCAATCAATAATAATTCACTCAGGGACCAGCTCAATACACAGCAGCTGGCTAAATGTAGCCAGTTAATTAGCATCAATTAACACCAACAAAATAACAGACTAAGGACTAATCAATACAGACAATCAACTGCCCCAAGACAGAGACAGTCAGTTGCACAAGCACCCACCTCATGAGTTTTGCCTGTCAGCAGCTAGGGGTGCAGGGCCCCAGAACCCCCCACACCGATTTCCTTGACAGCTGGCAGGCTTCGTGGCCACAGCAGGGGCTACTATTGCTGCAGCTTTCACCCTGCTGTGCCTTGACACACGCAGTGAGTCATGAGTTTTGCTTGTCTGCAGCTTGAGGTGCAGTTCCTGCCAAACCCCTGCATCTTTCAACTTGAAACTCGGCAGGCTTTGTGGCCTCACCAGGGGCCACCACCCCTGCAGTTTTCACCCCACTGTGGTATAACACATATACGTGACATGAGTTTTGCTTTCAGGAATTTGGGGTGAAGTTCCCCCTGAACCCCTGAATCAATCTTATTGAAACTTGGCAGGTGTCATGCGCTCAGCAGAGGCTACCATCCCTGCACGTTCCATATAAATCAGACATAAAACAACAAAGTTATAGATATTTCATTGATCCCCCATTATACCCTATGGCCAGATCTCCGAGGCAGCTTTGAAGCTTTGGAGCTGCTTCGACTGGATTGAAGTGGAAACCTGGTCCAGAGCTCCAGATTGTATCCTGGGAATCCGAAGCAGCCAGATCCGGAGCCAGATCGAATAGCTGCCTACTTGCACAGGCCTACTTGCAGTCTACTTTGCTCTTCTGTATCCAGAAATACTACTTCCTGGTGCTGTCATCACTTAGAACATTGAGTCCTCAACAGTTCATGAAGCATGGGGAGGCTTGCTGTGTTTTCAAACCTCCATTTATTAGTCAAAGTACAGCCAGGTTCAGGTTACAAGTTCAGTATAAATATTTCAGAGTTAAAAAGCTGGCTTGTCAGGCTGCCTGACGTGAATTACGTATGTTACTTTAGTTACTCTCCCAGACTTGTACAGAAACACGTAAAACAAGGACAGTGACTTATAGGGCAAGTGCATATGCCTATACTGAACTTTAAATTCTGGTGGCTGCATGAAAATGGAGTTTTGCCAAACAAAGATGACTAGGAAAAGCCCAGCAAGTGCACAAGGCTTGGACCATGAAATGGATCACTTAAAAACAGATTGTTTCATTCAGTGGTTAGGACACTTTGACCAAGGGTCAGAAGACCTGAGTTTTAGTCTAGGTTCTACCACTGAGAGACTGTGGACCACATTTCTCCTCTCAGTCCTTTAGCTTCCCATCCCATCTTTTATCTTCACTATTTAGACTGTAAGCTTTTTTTGGAGACAAGACTTGCCTTTTACAACATATAAGCACAGTACATACCTTGATACATACCCCCTAATCTTGATTGGGGTCTATCAGTATTACCAGAACATAATATCAAAATAATGTCCTAAATGTAACTGAAAAAGTACATAACTGGGTCCCTGATATTTCAGTTGATTTTTAGTGTGAAGTTTATTTACCCAGAAAAATCACTAGTTATGCACAATCTGTTGAACTGTCTATGATACAACACAATAGAAAACTGTTGTGGTGTCTTTGGGCAAAAAACTCAAAGCCTAATATGTTTTGATTGTTTCTGTAAAAACCTCGATTAATCAAGTCTGCTCTGACAAACTTCAATTACAGAAAGACCACCAAAACTTATTCCATGTATTATAGGCTTTTGAACTATGGACACCTGACATTACATGGCTGTCTTCCCCAGCTTCCTCTAAAAGTGAAACATGAAGTTGGCCGTATGGGGATGGTATTTGTGGTGGAACAGGAAGAGAGATTGGACTATTTTCCAGTAATATTTCCTGGGCTTTTTATTATGATAGCAATTTGTCAGGGTTCAAGTTGTATAAGGAGATCAGCAATTTAAAGGAAGCCAATAAACAAAATGTGTACTCAAGTCTGCCTAGGTTTTTATCATTTTTCACCTTTTGCAGTTACTTATTTTTGTGTAAAAGGAGAGTATGCTGGCTGTAGAACACTCCTAAGCACAACATATAATGCATAACAAAAATACATCAGTTTGGTGATTCTCTACTTTCCTACAACTTGTGTCCTTGTGGTTGGGCCTGAGAAAGCGCAGGGTAAAGATGAGGTGCACGGGAGGTTTCCACAAATTCCATTCTCTTGACTTTTGGCTTCAGTGTCTGGGAAAGATTGCAATACATCTGTGCAAAGCAGGAATTCTGTACCTTACAGTTCCCATATAAATGTACTCCCTTTAAAAAGTGTAAAAACAGGTGTTTCCTACGTGAAAAGAGCTTACTTACTTGTTATACTTTTTTCCACACCATGAAGACTCTACTAAAGCATATTTTCCATATAAAATTGTCACCCTTCATATTATTTGTGTGGGTATTATGAGAGACTTTGTGGTTAAGACATGGACTGGGACTAAAATTTGAGTTCAATTTCAGTTGTTCCAGACTTCCTGTCTGAATTAGGTCATCACATTCTTTCTGTAAAATGGAGATGAGAAACAACTGCTGTTCTTAGATTCTATGGCAATGACAGCCATATAAGTAAACAGATTATTTAAAATATAGCTATGGTTGGAATTTTCAAAAGTACTTAACACTGCATTTGTTGTACTCTTGTTGAAGTTGATAGTACCATTCCCATCAATTTAAGTGAGAGTGAAGTTATGGCAATATAAATCCTTTTGGATATACCACGTATTTATACTGCAGGTGTACAATTGTATATTTATGCAGGGGTCAGAAATGTTTTTGGACGGAGAGCAAAAAAACCCCACAACCTGGACTTAGAATACATTAACATGCCAGGGACATTAGTGGAGGAGCTGCGAGAAGCCAAAACCTTGTTGAGGCAGTGAAGCCCTGGCCCCTTCCATGCCATGGTGTTTGAGGTGTGCATGCAGCCACTGCCACCAATGAGCTGGGCTGGAGCTCTGGGCCCTGATGCAGCCAGTTGCAGCCTCTGGGCAGGCCCCTGCCACCCCCGTGGAGACTGGGCTGCTTACAGCAGGCAACCACAAGCCTGCAAGTGGCTGCACTGGGGTCCACAGCCCCAGCTTGACTCATTGTGGCAGCAGTTGCACAGATGCCTTGGGAAGCACAGAGAAGAAGGGGCCAAGGCTGCACTGTCATGTGTACAGCTGCCACAAGCCACGTTGCTGGCCTGGGGCTCTGGACCCCTGTGCACCAGTTGCAGCCTCCCAGCTGCCTGCCACATCTGGCCCAGGTTCTTGGTAGCTGCTGCCCGCCATGGAGCCTGGGCTGCTTGCAGCAGGGCTTGCAGCTTCTCTGCCACCTGCCACAAGCAGCTTGGGCTCAGTAGCTGGCGGCAGCTGCCCAGAGACTGGGTTGGCTGTGGCATGCCAAGCAAAATGGCCTTGCGTGCTATGCTCTGTCATGCATGCCGGGGGTTGCCAACCTGTGTCATATAGGCTCTCAGCCTGGAAATGTAAGTGTGTGTTTAACAGTATGCGCCTGAGTAGTCCTATTGATTTTATAGTAACTATATGGATACATTAGGGCCCCTGCTCGTAAAATGTATTAA